TTTATGTGTTAGAATATTTATATCTAGTATTCGACCGAAAATAAGATGTATAATATTTTCAGTAATTACGAAAGAGGGTAAAAATAGTGTAGATTTCATATAAAATTGTAACTAAGAATGAAACATAAACTCACGCACATTCACTTTTTGTATCTTGGTTGAGTATTCCAGAGATCCGTAGAGATGCAGAAATAGAATGGCAAAGGCGTCCCAGTGTCCGCTAGAGGGATTTTCAGAAATCGTACATAACCACCGTAAGAGAAGCAAAGCATCAGAGGAGCCACCCGAATTTGGGGGAAAATGGCCTTTTTATTGCCGGCAAAACTGGTTTAGCGATCTCTGGTGAGATTCTTGTAATATTTTTCGCTGTATTTGATTGGTTGATGTGATAGAATCTTTTACGTGGGCATTTTATGGAATAAGTAATAGGAGGTTAAATCTTGTAAAAGGGTATTATTTTATTACTCATCTTATCCACGGGGGAATACTGATTTGGTGATATATTTTATTAAATATAAGTATTAATTATTACATGTATTAAAATGTGATACTACATAAGCGTTTTTAATAACGTTGAAATTACTTTTTATTATTCAGTATCGATAATAATTTATGACTACTGTTATCTATTTATCATAATTCATATAAAAAATATCATATATGACATATATAACATATAAAATATAAAATAATTTATATTTCATTGATGTTATATGTATTTATACATTTTATACTTTTATCATATTTTATCTTACTTTTTTCTTTTATTTATACTGTTAATATAAATAATTTAATTGAAAAATTTCAAGAGAATAAAATATTTAATTAACTATTTATTTAATTTATAGTAATTCAGCACTAATTTTGTCCCATATACATTTGAATTATCAAAATTCCCAGTGCATAAAATATTAAAACACAATTTTAAAAATTTATATTTTTAATAGAAAATTGCACAGTAATATTTTTCTATTTATTATAGAATTTTTTAAATATCTACTACTCTAAATAGCCGCTTACTGTGCTATGCATACGGCTATAACACAAGATAAACATAATATCATATTTATTATATAAAGAAAAGGCAGTACCTAAGGTATCTATATAAAAAAAAAATTTCTTGATTCGGTAATTTTTAAAAAAGTTATATGTCGAAAATTAGACATTTTAGCTTCGATGCGAAGCTGAGAAGGTATTGGTTTTACTAAGATGTGTTTTTTTTTGTGTCTGTTACCACTTTTTCTCAGCTCTCACCGAACGTATTTCTTTCAATGATACGTCAAAAGATCACAAATCGTATCTTATCGAAGACATTACCCTTAAAAATTGAAAAAAATTCCCTCGTTCCACGTAAATGGGGGAACCCTCCAAAAAAATTACAAATTTAAAAATCGCTTATTTTCGAAATTTTTTCAATTTTTTTAAATTAAAAGTGCCATAACTTTTTTAAATATGAACATATCAATATAACTCTTTTTTATATATNTTAAATATGAACATATCAATATAATTCTTTTTTATATAGATGCATAATATCATTACCTTTCATTTGGTATATTTTTTTCATAAATTTAACCCTTAATCTGCCCACAAGGGGGGATTTAAAATGACAACTTTTTCACAAAAAATTAATTTTTTTAACTTAAATTTTGAAAATGTTTCGGAAGGTCTGACACTTTTATATATATCATAAATTGAAGCTAATGTAATTTACTTTATTATGCAAAAAAAAAATTTGGACTTTATTTTATCTTCACGGTAAAAATGGCTGCCGAATGCANTTATCTTCACGGTAAAAATGGCTACCGAATGCAATTATTGTGTGAAAATTCTCGATTTTATTTTTTACATTTTTAACTTTATAATGCTATGATATATTGAAAAGTGTATGGATCAACATTACTTTTTTATGAGAAATAATATTTTTTAATAATCCCTTTTTTATTCGACATACTGTATCTTAATCAGGATATTAATAAGGAACTAACAGTTTATGAAGCTTTTGGAATAATCCACCAATTTTTTAAAATTAAACACTATCTAAAGATTTGCATCGAAGCGTTTTTTTTTTTTATAGTGATTTTAATCACTGTCAGATATCATTATACTTGATCCAACTATACCACGTCACCACTGTGCCGTGACCCCCCTGTACTAGCTTGTTTTTTTCCCTTGGCTTTATAATAAAATCCTCTATGTAAATTGCTTACTATTTTCGCCATAATATTTGGAATACTAGGATAATCAGCATTCCAAATTTGTACGAAAATTATAGGACTAATAATTTCCCATTCTAAAAAAAATCTATTTTAAACGTATCAAAATAAAACAACAAAATAAGTATTTTATGCTTGCATTAAAATACCCTAATTTCATAGATCTACAATAAACAGAATATTTTAAATATATGTTATGTATATTAAAAATACTTCTGAAAATATATTTGTGTAGAAATAAATATCGATTGACATTAAACTCTCAAAGTCAACCCCAATCTTATTAATATAATGTCATAAAAGTTTTCTATGAGTTTTTTTTTAGTTACATACAGAGTGAATAATTTATCGTTGGCCACTAGATTTCTTCTGAAACAATAATTTTGATTATTCTAGTGTATTTTTGGTATAATTTATTACTTTATTATAGATCAATTAGCGTTTAAATAATAAAAACCCAGCACAGTGGGGTCGCGTCACAATGGGATTTGGTATAGTTAGGTCCAGTATAATTTAATCTGTTTAATCTGTCAGTTTAATCTGACAGTCATTAAAATCACTATCATAAGAAACGCTTCGATGCGAATCTGTAAATTGTGTTTAATTCTAAGAAATTGGTGGATAATTACAAAAGCAACATCAACTTATATTTCATTAATTATATCCAGATTAGTAATTCTTTTACTTATATATTATATAATTTTTATAATTAATTGTTTTCAAATTATTATTGATTTTTAATATGCTAAAAGTAATAATTTTTAACCTACTATTTTTTGTTTACTTTTTTTTTATAACCATAACTTTTAGCTCAATTTGCAAGTTTGAAATTGACATCATTAAATAGAAAAAATGGTATTATTAAGATTAATAAGCAATCAGGAAATTTTATAATTACTATTTACAGTAAATTTTTTATTTCTTCCATTGTTATATTCAGGTGAAACTAAAAATTATTTTTTTTTTTTAATTTATGATTTATATAGCAACATGCTACGAAAAAATTTGGAATGTTATAGACTGGCAGTAGCACACACAAATAGAGTAAAAAAAATTATATAAATATCAAAGTAAAATTATCTAATATCAAATCTAATTCGACAATATACTTTAAAAATATTAAAAATTAATGATTTTAATTGTTTGTATGGATAAAGCTGGTTTAGCTACTTTTTATTTGAATAAGGCATTTTTTTTCAATTTTTAAGGGTAATATCTCCAACTAAATACGAATTGTAATCATTTGACGTATTGTTGAAAAAAGTAGGTGAAGTGAGGGTTGGTAAAATAAATCGCGGCCTCAAAAAAAAAAAATACATAGTAAAATAATATTAACACGAATAAAAAATTTCTTCTCACGAGGGGAGATTATAGTGATAGGAACCTTGATATTTATTGAAGTTATTGAATCTTAATGACATAAAAATCAAATGTTTTAAAAAAACTCAAAGAAAAATGCAAAATATAGATTGACACAAGCCGATTCGAACTCGTAACCTCTGCGTGAAAGACATAAGTGCTATCGATTCGACAACTGTTCGTTGCTTTCGTCGCGGGATAAAATTGGCAATTTAAGCTAACTCAAGTTTAAAAATTTCTTTTTCAGCTTTAAAAAAATTAAAAAATTTGGATAAGTTTAATATCTTATGTCTTATGAACTTTATTCTATGTCAATTAAATTATATAATATTCATGAAAGTTAATGTATAGTCCTTATAAGATATTTTAAAATGAAATAAAATATAAAACCCAGAATTTTAATACAAAAATAGCATATTTTTCAATGCGGTAGCCATTTGTGCATAGAAGATAAGTCGTCGGAACAAATTTTCTTTTTAAATTTATAGTACATGACATGAGCTTTGATTTTATATATGTTGAAAGGACGTAGTATTTCCGGAACATTTTCAAAATTTAAGTTGAAATAGTTAGTTTTTGTAAAAAAGTTGTAATTTTAAATCCCCCCCTGTAGGCAGTTAAAGTGTCAGATATAAAAAAAATATATATACCAAATGATAAGTAAAGACATCATGCATCTATAAAAAAAAAATTATATTGATCCATACATCTTTCAAAAAGTTATAGCATTATAAAGTTAAAAATATAAAAAAGAATTTAAAAGAAGGAAATTACCTAAGGTTTTAACATAAAAAAAATTATGTTTATTTTTTTTTGAAAAAGTTATGGAAGTTTTAAGAAAAAAAATTGAAAAAAATGACAAAATTTACGGATTTTAATAATTGTAATTTTTTTGAAGATTTCCCTCATTTACGTGTAACGAGAGAAAATTTTTCAATTTTTAGAGACGTAAATTATTATTTCGACTGACTAAAAATAAATATTTCTGATGCTATAAAAAACGCTTATAATAACAAATTAGTTTGCTCTTGGTAGAATTACAAAAAAAATTAGCGCACTACAGTAACGTCCGTAAAAGTAGTGCACTACTTTCAGACTATGAAAAAAACTACATTTTGTAGTTTGTGTTATGTCTGAACAAAAATGCTAATATTCAATTAGCCTTGTATGGCGACTTACTTCTCAAAAGACTTTATAATTATCTTTTTAATAAACAATCATATTATATCCTGTAAATTATTCATATTTAAATTTTGCAGCTTTTAAAATGTTTTGTTTAAAAGTTTGATTTATTACTTCAATTGCATATTTTATATTTAAATTTGTACGTAACTAATACAAATAAGAAAAATAAATATTTTTTTTATGCCTTTATATAAATCTACATTATATTTTAAGTTTTTCTTAATCAATTTATACTTTCATTATAAATAGATAACTGCACTGTTTTATTACCAAAACCTATTTAATATTCTCTTAAAAATTTTGCAAAATGAACTGTGTAATTTATTTTGGTGTGTTATTATGTGTTAAATCTTCTTTCGTGATATTAAGTTCGGTAATTAAAATAAAAATTCATTATTTATAGTAAATTCTTAAAGTTTAATTAAAAAATTATATGTTTACTAGACCACTCACTGTGTTGAACAAATTGATAATATTCTACATGACCAAAATAATCCAATTATACCTGAAAGGCAAACAAAAGAACAAAGAGTTAAAGAAGTAACGTTTTAACATATAATAAAAAATAATCACTTGTAGCTAATAATATTTAAAATAAAAAATATATTGAAAAAGTAACAAAAATTATTAAAAAATTTTGGATACGTATTTTGGTAACCATTAGCTAGTACACTCACTAGCAAGTTGCTCTCCTTCCTTTATTACATTTTTGTGTTTGGAAAAAATTTTGATATTACGATTTCGTTATATCCATTAAATCAATTTCTCTTAAATTCCATACTTCTTTATCAAAATCCATTTTACTCATCAAAATATAAAATTATCTGTAAATCTACTATTAAAGCTGACATTGTGTGTTGTCAGCTATGATTCGAATTGTTCGGAATGTCTATGTGTTTTTCTATTAAATTTCAAAATTTAGTTCTCTCTACTTTTCCAATAAATTAATTCTAAAAAGCCAATTTTCCCTCTACTTCCTGTTCAAACGTGAATTCAATGGATAAGTAAAATTAATTTAAATATTGTATAAAGTCCTCCGTATTATAATCTTTCTTTATTACAGAAACAATATCATCAACATACCTAGCTCCACCTTTCGGAAAATCACCATAAGTGTTTTTTAAATTCATTACGAACCTACTCATGAAAAGTCTTTAATGAAAAACTTGAATTTTTCTTCAATTATTAATTTTAGATGATATCACATCGGAATATTTTTCGGTATAAATTTTGTTTTAAGACCCAACATAATTTTTTTTTAATATTAACTAGGTATTTCTGTTTCTTCATCCAAAAACACAACGTTGGTGTAATTCTTAACTAAGTATTTTCTCATTTTTTAGAAAATAAAATTAATAGACTATTATTAAAGTTATTTATTGTCCTCTTATTTTTGTATTCTGAAAGCAAATTTTGAAATTTTTTCTTTTTTTTGGTTCAAATTTATGTTTATTCATCTGGTACATCATCTGTTCCAATATTTCCCATTATTATTTGCCAAAAAATTTTAAATTATTATTTTTAATTTTAAATTACATTTTAACACTTATGGATTTACATACTTTATTAATAAACTACTGTGTGTGTCTAACATTTAAAATTGATTAAATATATAAATCAGTTAAAATTAAATAAAAAATTATTTAACGAAAGAAACATGTGAAACTATTATCAATATTTGTATGGTAAGTTGCAATAAAAATATTATATTTTACCAGGCTAAAGAAGCAGCAATAATTTTTGGAAATCAGAGTTTAAGTATTGAAAAACTCAGTGAAGTTGAGGTAATTTTTTATTTACCTAAATTTACTTATATAATTAACTTATTTAATTGCTAAGATAGAATAAAAAATTGCTTTCAGCATCAAAAAAAAAAAACCCAGCACAGGGGGGTCGCGGCACAGTGGTGACGTGGCATAGATGGATCAAGTATAATGATATCTGACAGTGATTAAAATCACTATTAAAAAAAAACGCTTCGATGCAAATCTTTAGATAGTGTTTAATTTTAAAAAATTGGTGGATTATTCCAAAGCTACATGATCTGCTAGTTCATCATTAATATCCTAATTAAAATAAAGTATGTCGAATGAAAAAATTAAAAAAAATATTAATTCTCATAAAAAAATAATGTTGATCCATACACTTTTAAATATGTCATAGCATTATAAAGTTAAAAATATAAAAAAAAAAATGGAGAATTTTGACACGAAAATAGAATTTGGTAGCCATTTTTACCGTGAAGATAAAATAAAGTCCGAATTTTTTTTTCGCATAATAAACTAGATTACATTAACTTTAATTTAAGATAAAAGTGTCAGACTTTCCGGAACACTTTCAAAATTTATGTTGAAAAAGTAAATTTTTTGTGAAAAAGTTGTAATTTTAAATCTCTCCCTGTGGGCAGGTAAAGGGTCAGATATAAAAAAAATATATACCAAATGATAGGTAAACACATCATGCATCTATAAAAAAAATATTATATTGATCCATACATCTTTCAAAAAGTTATAGCACAATAAAGTTAAAAATGTAAAATTTTCACACAAAAATAGCATTTGGTTATTTTTAAAAAAATTATGGCAATTTTAAGTAAAAAAAACCCAACCAATACCTTCTCAGCTTCGCATCGAAGCTAAAAGTAAAAAAATTTCGAAAATTAGCGATTTTTAAATTTGTAATTTTTTTGAAGACTTCCCCTATTTACGGGGAACGAAGGAAATTTTTTCATTTTTTAAAGTTTGTCTTTGACTAGATACGAATTGTGATCTTTTGACGTATCGTTGAAAGAAATCGGTTCGGCGAGAGCTGAGAAAATGTGGTAACAAACACAAAAATACAAAAAAATAGTAAAATTAATACCTATTCGCATCGATGCTAAAAGTGAAAGAAAGTGTTGCTGTAATTTGTTAATATGTTAAATAATTAATTAATATCATGTCTAAATAATCAATAACTATGACAATTCAAAAATAAAGTTACTTGTGCAATATTATAATTTGTTTTTGTCTCTTTAATCAAAAGTTGCATATTGTTTATTTTTAGTGTTTAAATTAATTATTAAAAATATAACACACAAAAAAACACACCTTACGACCATTTTGTAGTTTTTTTTCAAAAAATTTTAATAAAATGGTTTTTGTATTTATTTTATTGTTCATATCTATCAAGTTTTATAGTTAACATATTTATGCACTTTCCGATGGCCTACGTGTCAATTGTCATCCGTAAAAAATTCATCGTCACATTTCAGTAAGTTATTTGTCAGTATGACATCTTTTTTTTTAGCAAGCGCCTTCGTTTGAATGGTAAATTGTTCGCCCATTGTACGCCGTTATTTTTATTATTTGTTTGTTGTAATCTTGTGCTCAAAGTTCTCGTGCCCTTTACCGCAACCGTTGATTGGGTCCTCACCATCACTAAATAACTTCATTGCCGTTGTCGCTTTTTCGGCGTCCGTTTTCACCTGCCACTGCGTGCCTGGATCTACACTCTACTCGCAATACTCACATGTTCAACACCATCACCAAAAGATCTCATACAGTCCACTCACCAATATCAACAATTCATTTATTCAGCTGAGTTTATATTATTTTTGAAAGTTATTTATTATTTATTTTTATTGAGTTTAATTATTTTGTTTTATGCTGTTTTGCCGGCCATTAGTATTTAAAGGACTCCCGTTACCCCTTAAATTTAAGATACTCTTTAAATTACTTCTTATACAAATGGTCATTTGTTATTTAATTATTGTCTATTCTCATTACATTTTTCATGAGAGTTTAGCCGTCATCCTTTCAGGTGACTCTTTTTTCGCTTCAATAAAAGTGATTTAAAAAGAGATAAGGTAAGACAGCATTCTAGTGCTGTGCACAACTAGCCGTCCTACGTTCTAGATGCCTTGTGCGAAACACCACTGTTTATTTACATATAAATACCACTGTTTAATTATTCGATTATTCTAATATCAAAAAGTAAAATACATAAATTATATCACATACAATAAAATAATTTATATAAAGTGCTTTTTACTTCTTTTTTTTAAATTTAATAATTAGAAAGTTGAGGAAACCGAATTTGAAAATGTATTTGAACTTTTACCCAAACGTTATTCATCGCTTGTGGATAGCATTGGAACATTTATAGAAAAATTCCAGGAAATTACAAAAAATGATAAAAACATAAACAAAAATGTTAGCAAAAACGTAAAAAAAATTGTTAAAAAATTGAAAACATTCGATGGTAAGGAAGTTTACTTAAATATTTTTATTAAGTTCTACGATATACACGTATTCTCGCATTTTATGTTATTGTTTTATTTTCACACCAGGTAACAAATATTTTTATAAGATTAATGTATTATAAAAACATCTGTATAATATTATTTTTTGAAAAATGTTTTCGGGACTTGAAAGTGTTCAATTATTTATTTATTTTACTTAACACTTATGAAATAGCATTTCATAATGTGCTAGTTTATTTTATATGATAATATAATAGCAAAATGNTTATTTTATATGATAATATAATTGCAAAATAAACTCCTAGTGTTATACATACAGTGTACTTTTCTCATTTTACTCTATTTTATCATTTGTTAAACCACATTTGAGGTCCATTGCCGCTTTACTCAAATATTTTAAAAGTTCGTTATGCTGCACGTGCACTCGTTATTGTTATACATAATATCATTATTATTTACAATATATGGTTACAGCTAGTTCAAAACTATTATTTTCTCTCCAAAACTGAAAATCTAAAACATATATGCTATAAAATTATGTAGTAATACCAGGCACTTTTTAAGTTCTCTTGAAAAATAAATAAAATGTAGACACATGGTATTGCGGATTAACGAATGTCATGATAATTCATTCCCTGATAGATAANACACATGGTATTGCGGATTAACGAATGTCATGATACTTCATTCCCTGATAGATAAGTGTAATATGTTTTTTAAAAATTGTTGTCATTTTTTCAACAGTAATGTGCCAGAAACATCAACAAAAGTTTCAAAGTCAGGACTCATGTCCTATTAAGTTTCTCCCTATACACATCTATGAATACAAGGAAACAATCTCTCCTAATACTAAAAAGAATTTATACATACCATATATGTACTACACTACGCAACCCTCCGAATCCTAAAATGTAAATGTCAAAATATTTATTTCAACATAACCAAGATCCCAGTAACGTGTCGCATAACTTCTCATTAATTTAATCACTAATTCAATTAAAAAATATCTTTTACTTATAAAAGTTATTATTTATATTATTTATAAACGTTTTCTAAATGATTTTAGGTGTAAATTTCTTTAAAATCCATTAGGATAATATTAAATAATCACATTTTGAAATGATTCCAAATTTTCTAAAACATTTTAGTTTAAAAATTAGTTTTACTAAAATATTTAAAATTTTTGTTCATTATGTTAACTAGAAAAAAGTTTTCTCTGCTTAATTATTTTAAAAATAAGAATTAAATTATGTATTTGTATTTTCTAGAAAATGAATTATTAGACCTAAGAATTTGTAAACAAATTATGAATAATCAATATTACCCAGTACCACATGATTGGGTTTTAAAATGTCTTAAGCTCAATTTTGAATTTAAAAAATGTGATCCAGATAACACCGGAAGAATCGCTATTGGTGATTTTCAGAATGCCATCAATAAAGTTTTTGTTAATGATTTAGTAAAAAAACATATTTTTAAGAGTTTATCTGGCGTAAAAGACGTACAAGACATTTGTTATGAAGGTACGTATCAATTTTTACTTAAACATTTTCATTACATGATTTAACTAACATAATTTATTTAATATTAGCATGGTTATTGAATATAAGAAAAAACTTGTATGAAAGTCAATTTGGTTTGCACTGTTTAGGAATGAAATGTCTTACTTGCATGGCATAGTAAAAACAATATTTTTAATTTATATAAAAAGTGTCTGTTTTTTTAAATAAATCATATTATTACCAAAACATTTCTACATTTCTTAATAAAATATATAACAAAACAAAAAAAAATAATCAATGTGCATAGTATTATAATTATTTAGGTAACTTGATTGAATACTTAAATTATATTTTAATAAATTGTTGGAATTATCAAAAATAGGTTACGAATAAAATATATTTCTTGTTAAAATTAAATAATTAGAATTCAAATACAATTTTAAATTTAAATGTTTCACTCATTCTCAAAATTTCGATCACTGTATATTTTACCAAAAAATTATCCGTATAAATTTGATTTATGTAAGAAATATTTTAAACCCAGCGCAGTAAAAAATTAATTGCACATCTGGCTATAATATTTAAAATAATATTTTTGCTTAGNTATAAAAAATAAGAAATGAGCTACTATATTTATCAAAAGCAATACTACTTTTACGGGTGTATATTTTGCGACATTGCACATGGATTATCACAGGTTTTCTATCATAAAAGTATTCAAAATGTTTATAATGTCTTTCGACACTAATAAAATAAAATTTTAATTCTACGTTCAATAACAACTGTTTAAACTTTATTCAAATGTTAATTATGAATGAAGTAAATTTGTGACAATTTTAAAATCATTTATTTTCACAATTATAACATAATTATTATGGTATGCGTATTATATATTTTATAAAAACCGAAAAATAATAACAATAAATACTATGATGATCAATACAATAACCATGTACGAACAGTTTGTATGTTAACGGAATGCTCAATACTAAACTGATTATTGATATTTTATCAAATTAATAAGATTATAGGTAATTAGTACTAGTCTGGCTACAGAAACCAAAGGTTTGTACTGCGATCTAGAAATGGCGACAAAAGCAACTCGCAAAGGACGGAGTGTCGCCTTTGGGGAGATACCTTTTAGGCACGACGTCGCTTCGGTGGTGTCGTGTCGTCGCCAAGACTTGACGATTCAGCATAAAATTCAAATAAACGGGTATCGCAATCTAACGGTATAGGAGCGCGGCAATTGGAGTATAAAAAATAAGAAATGAGCTACTATATTTATCAAAAGCAATACTACTTTTACGGGTGTATATTTTGCGACATTACACATGGATTGTCACAGGTTTTCTATCATAAAAGTATTCAAAATGTTTATAATGTCTTTCGACATTAATAAAATAAAATTTTAATTCTACGTTCAATAACAACTGTTTAAACTTTATTCAAATGTTAATTATGAATGAAGTAAATTTGTGACAATTTTAAAATCATTTATTTTCACAATTATAACATAATTATTATGGTATGCGTATTATATATTTTATAAAAACCGAAAAATAATAACAATAAATACTATGATGATCAATAAAATAACCATGTACGAACAGTTTGTATGTTAACGAAATGCACAATACTAAACTGATTATTGATATTATATCAAATTAATAAGATTATAGGTAATTAGTACTAGTCTGGCTACAGAAACCAAAGGTTTGTACTGCGGTCTAGAAATGGCGACAAAAGCAACTCGCAAAGGACGGAGTGTCGCCTTTGGGGAGATACCTTTTAGGCACGACGTCGCTTCGGTGGTGACATGTAGTCTCCAGGACTTGAAGATTCGTTATAAAATTCAAATAAACGGGTATTGCTATCTAATGGTATAGGAGCGCGGCAATTGGAGTATAAAAAATAAGAAATGTGCTACTATATTTATCAACAGCAGTAAATTTTGTTGTGGTTTGTGGCAGAAGGGTTCGTCTAACAATTTGATGGTTTCGTTTCTCATAGCTCGTCGAATCGGGCAAATATTCGGTCAGAGCGTCCGGTCGATAAGTGATCACTCAGAACAAAATTGGCAACACATTCCGGTGAGCAATCAATCGTGTTCTAAGGAGAACAATAACAGGTGAATTCGAGTAGCACGTCGAAGAGCGTCAGTTGAAAAAAATAATTTGTATAATAATTTTTGTAAGAAATAAATAGAAATGGAGCAAACAGTGACGGAATATTTTTTAGTATATTATTGTATTTCTTAAGAATATAAATTCAGTTGCTTACACAATCATGTTTCATCTTCTTTTTGATCACTTACTCGTATGATTGAATATCTTATATCTTATATTTTATATCTAAGCATTTATCTGTACTCACATACGTGTATGTAACTTATCCTAGTAATTTATAAGTGAAAATGTGTTAAGAAACGCATATATTAAAATTAATTACTGTTATAAATGTTATGATGATATTTTGCTGAATATTTGTATTGCGTTCTTTGTGATTTAAATAACACATCCACNATCTTTTGACGTATCGTTGAAAGAAATCCGTTCGGTGAGAGCTGAGAAAAAGTGGTAACAGACACAAAAAAAAAAAAAAAAACACATCATAGTAAAACCAATACTTTCTTAGCTTCGCATCGAAGCTAAAATCAAATAATGTTTATTATAAGATGATTAAATATTTATGTTTTCATTTAAAAAAATAGAGTCAACACCCCTGTAAAACAAAAGGGATGAACGAAAACATTATTTTATAATAGATAAATGGAAATACATATGTAACTAACTAAATCCAAAAAAAAAAAAGAATAAACAAAAAAGACATAATTATAAAAAAAATTGTCTAATTTCGTGCGCTGATAAATTTAATTTTAACTTAGATATTTTTAAATAATTATTAGATTAATTAAGTTCTGAATATTTAAATTGTAAAATCTTTTCAAACACCAAGAGTTATATAGAAATTATTATTATTGTTACTATTTAAATGTTTTATTATGATTAAAATACAAAACAAATAGTGATTTTAACGAAATTTTTAGCTTTTTTCATAAATATCTCAAAAAAGAGGTGGTAGAAATAATCTAATTGTAGATTTGATATCGGGGCAAAAATGGGGTTTGAAGAGTATATTATGGTCTCTAATGAAAATTCCTTGTNATTTTTACATTTTGAAAAAATTTTTATAATACACTTAATTGTGTACATTTTTTTATAACAATAACAATAACATTTTGATTGTTTTTTTTTTTAGTTTCGCATTGCTCTTGTGATGCTTTGCGTTTTTTTTTTATGTCTGTCCATAAAAATTCTCAGCTCTCACACAATTTGATCAATATGTTAAATGAACTGATTTTAATCTAGTTGAATTTATAGACATCAAATATCGTAAAAAATCGCTTAATATTAGAAATTTAAACAAATATCTACTGTAAAAAATGGCTACTTTAAAATGTCATGTTTAATTAAATTTTTGGTCCTTTAAAGTTGATTTTTATGAAGGTTTAGAATTTAAAAATGTTGAACTTAACCTTTTTTTTAGTTCAACTTGCAAGTTTGAAATTGATATCATTAAATAGAATATTTTATGGAGATTTAAAAAATGGTTTTTTGAGATTGATTTATGGGCAGAAATTCGTTGTGATCTCGGTTTGTTCCGTTGTCCTAGATTCCTTGGGTAAGTCTTACAGTGTGTGAGTTGTCTGCTGTTCTATTATCTAGCATAATTTAACTGAAGTGTTGTTGTTTAATTCTTAAACTTAGCTAGAAGGATTTAAGAAAAAAATTCAGTACTTTATACTTATTATTGATTTATTGTAATTAAAATAGTTGAATTGCAAGTAATCGTAATAATAGTCAATACACTTAATAGTAAGATGACGGAACTACGACCATTTATTATTAAAAATATTTGATCCGAATATGAACAAGTCCAATGATCAGCTATGCGCTTGACCATCATGACTTGTGCAATAGTTCAGTATAGATTTATATAATTACTATTAACAGCAAATTTATGAAAAAATCCCAACATTTTATTAAAATCACGTATTATATGTTTTGAATATATATGGTAATAAATAATTTCAATAGAAATATTAACCATTTCTATGTATGTATGTAACTCTCGGTGTTTAAATAGATTCTACAATAGAAATATTCAGAATTGTATTCCATACAGTCATATCCAGTACTATAGGAACAATAGTATTCTATAGTACGCTGATATTTAGAAATATACTGTGCCTAGATTCACCTATGATTTCGTGCGCTGCTGTGTTGTTGAATTTCAATATAAGCTATATTTTTTAATTATTTTTTTAAAATCTGACTATTAACCTAACACAGAGAAGATTCAAAATAGAAACACACAAAAGTTTTACTTTTTCAAATTAAGTTTTAATTATGTTCCGGAAATACTGCGCCTTTTAGAAATATGTTAAATTAAAACTTATGATATGTACTATAAATTAAAATAGTATATATGACCTATCTTCTTTTTATAAATGCCGTAATTAAAATTTGTTTTTTTTGTTAAAATTTTTAATTTTCGATTTTATATTTTCAACATTAAATTGATATAACTTTTTGAAAAATTAATAACAAATTAAAATAATATCTATACAATATTTTTTGTTATAAATACTTTATATAACCCCCTTTCTTTCATATACTTTTTTTAAATCGGACCATTTCCTTTTATACGGGAAGGTTTAAATCTTGAAATATTTTAGTAAAATATGTCAAATTAAAGCTTTTGTTTGGTACTATAAATTAACAAAATAAATAGTCCCAGCGACTTATCTTTTATGTGCAAATACAATACTATTGTATATAATTGCTATTGTCAGTACATTTTTAACGTTTCTGTGTTTTTAAAATATGTGTGAGTGTTCTCTCTAACTTGCAAGCTCGTGCATTGTTATAACATACTATACGTACTACTACACACCGTAGATAATTAATATGTAAGCTAATACAGTGTGGGTGCTCTGTTCATAATTGTGCTCTCAATAAAACCCACATTGTTGCTGTGAAGAATGTAGACACTATTCTACAGTTTTAAAGTACTGCGGTCTCATGCAGAGGATTCTGTGGAATGGAGAATGTTCATCGGCTCAGATAACCAAGTCTAGTGATTCATGAAGGAGTCAGATCGGCTATAACATCAAGTAGCACCCAAACACCAGGGAGAATATTTTCATTGTATCCCTTAGATCATAAGGCTACAATAGCATTAAAATATATACA